GGTTATTATTGTTTGTAATATGTTTATTTATCGATATATATATAGATAGATAATATATAAATTATAATAATAATAATAATCTTTAAATAAAAGTAACTCATTCTTATTTGCCACAATATAATGATCTAATAAATTACGTGATAATTTATTGAAACAAACAAAGAAACATGTATATTTGTGATATCTGAATTTTTTTTTTCTACAATGATCAAGTAAGTTTGTTATTTTAAACACAAAGAAAAAATCTTTTTGAATTTAATTATTTACACAAAGAAAAATCTTAACTTTAATTAATTATACATATATTTATCAAACTAAATTTGTACCAATCATATTTGATCTTCAATTTGGTAAGAAATCCTCTTTTATCATTTATATATTTTAATCCATTAACGATAAACATTGTCCAAATATAGTGAAATGTATTCGAATCGTTTTCCTTTTCGATATTATTTTTATTATTTTTTTTTCAATTTGTTTTATTTCGTGAATTCATAATCGTTTATCTTTGTAATTTACAAAGTCCTTTTTTTTTATAATCTTAACGATTTCCTTTTTATGATTTGGTTCTACTTTCTTTTCGATTTCCTTTCACTTTTTTTTTTTTTATTGATTCTCGTGTTTTTATTTTTACTTTTTTACTTTTTATTTTTCTAAATGAGTCTTAAAAAAAAGTTTTTTATTGATGGCTGGTGAATTACAGAAGGATAATCGCGTGAAAATACTAAAATAATGATTAGGATCATCCGTGTCATCTACATCATTATTTTTTTTTTATTGGTCAAAAAAATTTCTTTTTTTTTTTTTTAATTTTTAACGAATAATAATATGAATTCAATCTATTTACCCTATAAGTGAAATGGGCTTATACGTTATAATTCGTATGTATATTATATTACTAACCCCTTTTAAATTAAATAAAAATCACGGTTTTTGGTTAATCAGAATAAGTAATTAGACTATTAACTACTATTACTCTATTACTAGTCCCATTTTATAATTCTTTTGTACTAGAATTTTAAAGAATAATAATTAGAATCTTGAGGAACTTTTCACCAAAATTTCTCATTCATTCTTTCTATATACGAAGTAATCTTTATTTACATATTTGGTTAAATATTTAAGTAAACTTTATCGTGAGAAAAGTATTTAAAAGGAGTTTAGAATATTTTTGGTACACAAAAAAGTTTTTTTCTTTTTTAAATAATGCGCGTTCTAATTGTTTATCTGTACACAAATTAAATTGGAAGGCTGAATGAATGGTAATCTTCGGTAATGTCCATTGTTGGAATTTTTGTGGATTTGTAAGATTTTTGTAATTTTTGTGTTTAAAATTTTTTTGTGTTAAATATTAATATTTTTGTGGCTTAGATCAACGGCGGGCATTAAAAACATTCTATTTACGTTTATACATTTTATTACGTTATTTTATTTGTCCACTCCCCATCCAACTGACCATAAAAAAATATTAACCTGATTAGGGATTTAACTTTTTTTTACTAAATATCGTTTAATTTAATCCATATAGTTGGATCACTAAATAAACTTTAAATTCATGGTCACATGAATTTTCCGTTATCTATAAATTCACTCATATTTTTCGCTAGGAGAAAGATTTGTGGTTAAATCCCACCATTAAGAAGAAAAAAAAAAAAAAAAAA